TGTGGTCACCTCCGGGGCAGGTAGGGATCAAACTCATGCAGAAGTGGCTTTAGCTTCTTTGTGCTGTGCTTTAACCCGCTGTGCCACCAGGGAGGGCCCAAAACCCTAACTTCTATGACTATTTACAGAGGACACTGAGTCCTGCCCAAGGCCCCTCACGGGTAAGTGCTGTAACCCCAGCGGACCCTGGCTGTTCAAGTCCTCTCTAGTATCTGGGCTCCTCCAGCCACACAGCACAGAAACTGTCCTTGAGCTGAGGAAGGACAGAACTTCTGGGCACAAGCAAGAAATCTCCAGCATAGGCTGGGGAGGCTCCTTAAATCCCTAACTAAGTGAGGGTTCAGTCCCATGGTGTAGAAGGCTAACAGAGCTCCCAGGCTTTCCCCTGCTGGGTCCCATAGAGGAAATGCCTACTCTGTGCCTGTTTCCATGCCAGACACTGGAGCAACAGAAGGAACACCCACTTGACCTCACTCTTCCCAGTAACCACTCTTCCTACAACCTGTTCTTTCCTCAGAGGAAGAGCCTGAACTCAGGGAGCTGTTTATCAGAGGCCATGTGGCCAAGAGAGGTGGCTGAAGGAGGGTAGAGTAGGGGTCTGAACCCAGGCCAGCATGACCCCAGGGGCCAAACCTGCTGTACCTGCTGTGACCATTCAGTTGCATCCTTCAACACCCCAACTTGCCCCACCCAGCTCTGCCTCTGTTCTCCCTCCTTTACCAGCCCTACTGGGCTCCTGGCAATGCCTCAACAAATGTAGCCAAACCTTGCTGTATCCCATAGATGTGCCTGGGAGAAAAGATGTACTCAAAACACACAGCCATTCTAACCTCAGGCAGTCTGGGCTGAACCACCTTCCTCGCCCACCCCTTTCCAGGCTGCTCCACAGTGCTACCCCCACCTGGTGGTCTACAGATGAGGAGCTCAGGGCTGGCAAATGACACGTTCAAGGTCCCCCACTGGGCAGTAGAGGGCGGGATGACCACAACGGCTAAGGGCTCAGAGCTGAGCTTTCCTCAGCAGCATCTCTTGCCAGAGCTGAAGGAAGCCCAGTGCCTGCCCCCCACCCTTGAGCGGAACTGAACCCATCCATGATAAAATGGCCTGGCTTTGGACAAATAGGGCTTAGCATGTTGAGGTCCAGGGCCCAAGCCCCAGCTGCCTATGACCCCAGTCTGACTCAAATGTTTGCCAATCAGGGGTCCCCCACGCAAGCTTCTGTTGCAACCACTTGGCTCTGGCACCTCTGTGCTTCCCTTAAAACTCAGGGTGGGGGCCTTCCCTGGTAGTGCGGCAGGTTAAAGCACAGCACTAAGAAGCTAAGCCACTTCCGCATGAGTTTGATCCTCAGCCCCAGTGGTGACCCACATGGCACAGCAGACCTCTCCTGACCCACCTACTGCTCCCCTCAGCAGTATACTTCAATGCTCTGCCTGTTCTGCTCCCCACTCTGTCTCTGGTGAATCCTCTCACCACGCTTGCATCTCTGGCCTGTACCCCAGATCTATATGCATAAATAAATAAATTCAAAAAAAAAAAAACTCAGGGTGGTGGTAGCCCCAGCAGAGGAGCTGAGTGTGCCTGGAAATCCTGTTTGGGAAAGGCACATTATTCACTGACTATACCCTCAAGCCATGTTATCACAGATTGACTGGTTTTCTTCAGCCCTGAGGCTTTCATAGGCTGTAGAGTATCTTAGCTCCTTCCCTTTGTTGGAGGAAAGATGAATGCCCCGACCCCAACCTGTGGCAGGGCTGCCTCTGTTGTATTTCAGGCAAATGTCAGCCCTTGGCCTTTCAGATGTCCCACATGGGACCCATCCATCTGGCCATGGTTGATGTGTCTCCAGGCAAACTCAAGAGGAGATTCTGCCAAGTGAGACTTTTCTTGGCATTGCTTATGAACTCTCCTTTGGAATGGGCTCCAGCAGCAAGTGTGTGTCTGCAAGGGGACAGGGCTAGGAAAGCTGGTGCCCGGGTGCTTTCCCTTTTTGCTTTGGCCACCAGGTAAAGTGTCACCAGATTCAGCACCTCATGGTTGAGTGCAGGAAGAGGAGCCAGAGAAATTCAAGACACCTTGATGCTCTGCTCACCTCTGAGCCACCTCGGACCAGCAGCCTCATCGTAGTGAGCCTGCTTTCCTCTCTGGAAAGGGGGAGACCGTAAGCCCTCTGAGTTCCACCTCCATCTGACCATGTGAGCTGGCATTCTTCTCTGTTTCTGCACTTCAGCTTTTTCTCCTGCACAAACGGGAATTATGCAAATAAGCATGCCAAGGATCGCTCAAAAGGCATGATCTAGTGCCTGCTATGTGTTTGGCCCTTTGTAGCCAAGAACTGAAAAATACTGCATTTGTGGGTGAAGACCCACTAGATTTGGAAAGTCAGGATTTCAGAGGCAGGATATGCTAGAAAGCTGAGTCGTACGGTAGCAATGTTAAAACCAAGCTTTGTGTCTGGACTGCAGTTTGGTTTCTCCACTCGAGGTACAGGGAGGAATCTGGCAAACACCCTTGCAATCACTGGAGGAAGGGGTCATTTCACCCAGGTGTCCACAGTGGGTACGAGCCCACTCCCAGCTCAGTGGGTGCCCTTTTTATAAGGTGCACCTGACTGCCTGTTGTGGCATGGGGCAGGGCATGCTGGGGCCCGCGCCAAGGGAGCAATGCCAGGGAGCCTGGCCAGGGCCCGCCCTCTACCCACTGCTCTGGAAGGCTAAGCCAGCACTACACAGTCAAGAGAGGCAGCCCCACCCTGGGGCCCTGCAGCCTAAGTACGGATCCTGGTGCCCGGGAAGGTGGCATAGTCTGTGCCATGTGGGGGTGCATGGGCGTAAAAGGCAGAAGAGGTTTTGACTAAAAGGTTCCTGCCCAGCTCCAGGCCTCCCTCACTTCTCACCCCCTGCTTCTGTTTACACACCTCCTGGAATAAGATCTCCAAGTCTTCTGAACCACCTGCCCTAAGTTTGTAGAGGGGTTTTATCTTGCTTCTCAGATGTGGTGCCCAGAATCAAAGCAACTTCTCCCAGAATAGTCTACTCAGTTTGCACCAGGACAGTAAGCCCCTCCACTTTTTTTCCTAAAGACCCAGATTTCTGTGAGTACATCCTTATTTTGTTTGTTTCTCTCCGGCCACGTCACTACTGATTATATCAGAGTCAATGGTTACTGTAACTAAAACTCATTTCTATACAATTCTTTCCTAATTCCGTCCTTTCCATTCTTCTCCCAGTTCAGAGAATGCATCTCTGTAGTCAGTTTATTCATAGATGCACTGAGTGCCTGTGTATGCCAGCCCTGTGCTGGCCACTGGGGATCCATAAATGATTAGAGGGTGGTCCTTCCCACAGAAGTCTTCCCAGCCACCAATAGAGAGGATGAAAGCGATTGCATCTACCCTAAGAGTATAATTGAGGCAATAATCGGATTTCTGTGTGTAATTATTAATTTTACTTCTGTAACATGGCAGGTGGCCACTGGACATTGTGTCCCTTCTGCAGGTACCACCCACACAGCATTGGGACACTTGGGGCTTCATTTGTTGCTGGTATGCATTTGGGATCTACAGAACATAGCATCTCTGAACCTGATCTTGAAAAGATGTCTTTACAACAGCCTTCCAGTAGTCACCCCTTTTATATTAACATTGACTTCTGGATGAGCCCTAAACTTAACAAAGATCCAAGGTGTATTGAACTATTGTACCTGCCAAAACAGGACTTTGTGTTTACAAATTAAGTAACAGAGAGAGTACCTATAAGAAAATCCTACTCAAATACAAGGCAGTTGTATGTTCAGACATATATGATAAGTCAGGGCTTTCTAGCAGTGAAGTTACACTGACCTTGAAGAATGAGACCCCTCTGGGATAGATCCCGCACCAAGGCAGAAGTCCTGGGAATGGGGTGAGGGAGGGACAGGACTCTCCTGGTGTCCCCCATTCATTCCCATGGCTTCAGGCTAGCTTAGCTTCCTACAATTGGGCGACCCCGGACACTTCTTTTCCACCTTCTGATCCTCAGTTTCCCTACTTGTGAAGTAGGGCGATAACATATTTCAGAAGATACAATATAATGGAGAATGGCAAACTGGGTTGGAATTCTGCACCTCCTGAGCCTCAATGTTCTGATTCATAAAATGGAACCTAGCAAGGGCAAGGGTTAGCTGGCTTCATTTCCCGCACTGAGGTCTGCGTTCCTGCACAGGAGAGCTGCGCACTAAATACTTGGGGTGGGGGAGGGGTGAATGAATGAGGAATGCCTGTTACTCCCTCTGCCAGAGACACTCTCGGGTTCTTCTCCAGCTGATTTCTTGTCCATCAGCTGGCGCTGACAGCCTTCAGATTCCCCTAAGTCCCCACCCCCTTACCCACCCTGATCTATTTTATTGTCTACCTGGCTTTGATCACTATATTATGGGATCTTAATTGCTTGCTATTTCTGTCTCCACCTTTAGCATACCTATCTAACTATAGGGCACCCATTACAGCCCTGGCACATACGTGACCAATAAATATTTTAATGGGTTCCCTTCTTCCAACCATTGGACACTTTCTAGGTTTCTCCTACTGGTAGGCACGTGGTCCTACCATCCTCAGCCGGGTCACCCGTCTGGACTGTCTTCAAGCCCTTTGAAGGGCTGTGTCCCCCCACACACCGGACCCCATAGACGTGCTCAGCCCAGGCGAGGGTATGTCCTCCAGTGGAAAGAGGCTGGCGCATAGTAGGCCCCCTCGGGGTGCTGGCATAAATGAAAGACAGGCCAGCAAGCTGATCAGCCTGGCACCCTGAGGGTACCCAGCTGCCCGGCGCGCCTTCCCGCCCCAGGAGCGGGAGGCTCCGCGGTTCCCTTCCTGCGGCCTGCTGCAAACTTTCAAAAGATGCGGCGGCAGCGTCCCCGCCCCTGCGCGCGCGGCTGGAGGCAGCGGGAGGCGGAGGCGGAGCCGGCGGGCCCGGCCGGTGGCTCCGCCTCCTCCTCCTGCCGCCGCCTCCCTCCCGGCACCCGCCCCAGCTGCCGCCCGCCGGCTCGCCCGTGCAGCCGCGATGCCCGGGAGCCCGACCCCGGCCCGGGTCCCGGGCCCACCCCGTAATTAAGCTTCCGTGCGCCCCGAGTGCGCCGCGGCCAACGCGACTCCAGACGCAGCGATGGGCAACACCGTTCACAGGACCCTGCCAGGTACGCCGGGGAGCCCTGCCCGGGAGGCAGACGCTGGGGTTCTCTTCTCCCCGAGGGACCCGCTGGGTGACTTCCGGAGAGCCACCCTCTCCCCCGTGAAGCCCTCGGCGCGCGGCGTGCTGGAGTCGCCGGTGTCTCTGGGACCCCGACTCCGCGAGCGCGGGGCTTTGCGCTTCGGGAGGGCGGGTACCGCGTCTCGGTTACCTTGGGGACCCCTTTCCGGGTCCTCCCGGCTTTGGTCAGATGCGCGAAGGGGTCGCTGGGGCGATGCCGTGCGCCCCCTCGCCTTTGTTCCAGTCGGAGAACTGATGAGTGAGCCTTAGGAACCCCGGGGGTTGACTGGAGCCGGGCTCCCTAGGGCTTCCGACGGCCAGAAGCGGCCGGCTTTGCTGGAACTGCAGTTGCTGAGAGTCGGTGGTGCTGACATGGGTTCCCCAGTTTCCAACCGCCCAGCGCCCCACGTTCATGCTGCCTGGTCTTGACCACGTTCCCACGCGGACCCCGGCTGCGCCCCCCTCTGGTATCCGCTCAACTGGGGTCTCTCCAGCCCCTGGGAGTTGCCATGGCAGAATGCATCGCCCCCTAGTTAACGCCACCTCAGGATTTCTGGAACCAGATAAGGAGATGCAAGTGGAGGGGGGTGGGGGGAGATGGGCTGGGGAAATACAGGCCTTAGTAGAAAATAACCTGGTGTTTGTGGGATCAGAACAGCTTGCAGCCGTATGCAAAGAAGCTTCACTGTTCGCAGTAGAGATGTATATTATTTAGGGTTTTACAAAGGAAAAAAATCCAAGCACAGAGGAGAAATGACTCACCCAAGGTCACACCGCTGTGGGGAGAACCTGGATTGGAACCGTTTGCAGGCCCTAATTTCCCCACTGCAAGTCTTTAGAAGAAGTCTGTTTTGTCTTAAGGCAGGGCGTTTGTAGCATCCTTTAAGCAGAAGGTGAAAGATCTGTGTGTGTTTAAAGTTCCAAAGCCACTCAAGTGTGGGATGAATTTTGCTGAGATTTTAGGAGAAAGGGACACATTCCCATATAGTCCTCCAGGCTTTATATCAAAAAATAAGAGTTTCTTCCCCGGGATGGGATTGAAGTGGAGGATGCTGTGCTCTGGATTCCCAGGGCTGGTTTGTGAAGAGGAGCCAATTCCATCTATTTTATAAGCCTGTGGGCAGTTTTCAGTCTACTGCACTCACCTCCAAATTCTCAGAGAGGTGAAGTCATCAGTAGAGGAGCACCAGCTAGTCTCAGGCAGAGGTGGGATTTGAACCCAGATCTGCTCAATGGAGGGTGGCTCCTCTGAACATGGCTATTGCTAGGGTGGGGGGGAATCCACCCACTCAGTCAGAAGTCCAGGGATGCTCTCCCAGGCACAGACACTGGTTGAGGCCTGGGCCCCTCTATAGGATTTTGTAATTAAGAAATGTTTATTTCTTCTAAAAAGTCATTCTGCCACTTGTGGGTCAGCCTTGGGATGGGCCAAGGGACGGAGAGGCCAGAGGCCAAATGGGCTAAATATAGATGGAGATTTATGTCATCCCCATCCCACTGGGAGCTTGCTCTGTGCACTGAGTCCCCTTGAACTGGGAGCTTGGGGTTAAGATTGGTTACCTGCTGCTGTAGCTAAGTGTAGAAAATTCAGCTCTCCACTCGGCCTGCAGGTTTCCTTAAGATTGAGGATGGTGACAGAACTGGAATCCCTGTTTGCTGATCCCCAGAATATGAAGGGCCATTTAATGTTTGTGACATTAGATTCTATAATTAGTTTCTCACACATACTGTTTCTTATATCTCTGTGCTAGTACGTGGTGCATTCCTTCCCCCCAACCTGAATTATCCTTTGTTATCTAGTCTGGCTTTCAAATGTCAGCCTGGCTGTCACCTCCTCCAGGAAGCCTTCCCTGACCAACCATGCCTAACCCCATTTTTGCTCTGCTACATGGATACTTTCTAAAGTGTCTGCTTGTTGTTTAACCACAATATATTGTCATCACCCCATTCTAAGACTCACTCTGGGGCTGCCTGAGGACAGGCCCAAAGATGTCTTGATCATCTTGTGTCTGTGGTTGCCCAGCCCTGAGCCTGGTGCCTGGCAAGTGCTCAAAGACTGGTGGTGGAGCTCACATGTTGTCTGAATCTTAGACTGAAAGAACACTTGGCTCAGACTTGCCCTGTAGAAATCCTTGTGCTGCCGTTCTCAGGAAAAGGACACATGCGTGGGGTTCCTTCTACGGGACTGGAAATAGAGAGCTGGCATTTGCTGAGCACCTGGATTCTGTGCCAGGCTTCCTGCATATGTGACTTCATTTACATGCCAAGCACGCTTCTCCTTACGGCTCCTGCACTTGCCGATCCCTCTGCCTGGAATATTCTTCTACCAGCCCTCCACCTGACCTCCCCCTTGCTTCCTCCAGGCCTCTGCCCCAATGTCATTCCTGCCATAGCCCTGCCCCCACCATGCCCTCTAGGTGTTTCTCTGCCATGGCCATCACCCTGCTCCTCCTGCTGCATGGGTAGTTAACTGTTTATTATCTCTCTCCCCAGGGAGGGCTTCCTCTGCTTTATTCACTACTGCACTGGGAGCAGTGGGAGGAAGTAGTAGAGGTTCAGCTAATAGCTGCTGAATGAACAAATTAATTCTCGAAACAGCCCTGCAAGGTAGGGCTCATTCTCCAGATGAGTAAACCTAGGCTCAGAGAGATGTGATGACTGCTCCCAGCTCCCAGCTTCTCAGTTGGCTGAACTAGCATTGAAATGCAGGTTTATTTAGCTCCAAAGTCCTACGTTCTTCCACTGACCTGCAGAATAAAAATCTGTGCATCAAGTAACATCTAAGGCTTCCTGGAGGAGGAGGCTACATATGACATGTTATTGTATACAATAAAAAAGTGTCAAAGAAAGGGGACAGGCTTTATGATTGATTTCTGGGAAGCCATGTGGCAGCCTAGCAAAGGGCATCCTCAAATTCAGAGGGTAAACAGAAGTGGACAGTTGTCCCTAGAGTCCCTATGTTACAGGGCACCCCAATGTAAATTGGGTTGCCCGTCTGTGGGTCTTCACCCACGCGCTTGCGATTCAATCGTATTATGGACACACTCAAAAAGGTCAAATAATGGATTTATTTATAAGGAGAAAGGTAAAGGAATAACTCAGGGAATGAGGGAGAGAAATACAAGTTAACTAGAATGTCCTACCAGTTCTGCTGACTTGGACTCCACCAGCATGCTGAAAACCAAACCCATCGAGAGCCAAAACGATCAGGCCAAGAGACCCCCAGAACCCACATGTCCGGTTTTATCCCAACCTGGCTGCTCAGCTCCACCCTCACATCCCCGTGCTTCTCCTTGGTACTGATGGGATTTGGACTTCCAGCATCTGGAGTGGGGGCGGAGTCCATGAAACCTGTACCTGTTACACCTAGAGAACTTTATTTGTTAAGCTCCTATGCATTTGCATTCTAATTGCATTTCAATCCTGCCATTTGGTAGCTGAGAAGAGTGAGGCAGAGAGATCAAATTCTTGCCCAGACACAGTTAGGCTTTAGCAAAGTTGGGTTTAGAAGAGTCAGGTCTGTCTCATGTCTAATACTACCCCTTCCTTCTATTGAACTTCATAGCCTTGGGTTCTGAAGCTGTCCTTTGAGGGGGGAAGGGGGGGAAGGTGTGTAAACAGATGGAGGTAGGAGAGGGTAAACTTCCAGGGTGGAGGGAGTGGATGGATGGCGGGTCCTCCAAGAGGAATTCTTTCAGTCCCTCCCTCAGCACGCACTTCTGGAGCTCACCATAGATCTGGTTGGAGAGGAAGCTCAATTCAAACCACACGATGGGTTTAATCATTAAGTTGATCCACACTTGACCCCGTCATCCGCCGTTTTCAGTGTGAGTTCAGTCATCGGGCATTTGGAGCGAGGGAAGTATGTTGGCCCTGCCAACTTATTTCAAATCCTTATACCAACTCTGTGTGTGTGTGTGGGGGGGGGCGCTGTATGTGTCCCCAGTTTTACAGGGAGACAAGTGGAGGCTCAGGAGATGAAAGACTTGGAGACTCCGGGTGAGACAGGTTTTCTAACCCCATGGGCAGTCTGCTCCCAGATAGGGGCTTGGGGGTGCCAGCCCCCCACTGCCCCAGTGACGCCTGCTGCCCTCTGGCTGGTGATGTTCCCCGGCCTGCCCAGCAGAACCATTTCGCCCATCCTGCACTTGCACAGCCCCTTGGCAGGCAGTAGTGCCCGTTCTCACTGTCCTTATAGCCATTGCCATGCTGACCCAGTGACAACATTCCTCAACTTTTGCACCTTCTTTCTCCTTTCCCCAGTCACAATGTAAAGTCAGGCTGGGCTTTATCTCACTCTATATGCCTCCCTCCCACGTGGTCATTAAGAACCACTTTTATAGCCTCAGGGTTGAGCAAGCCTCTCAGAGTGATAGTCCTTTCCTCTGGCAGCCCTGAAACTTGCCAGGCTGTCAACACCAGGTCAGGGCCTGACCAGTCAGGGCTCCATGGTGACTCCTGCAAGGATG